GTCCCGCTCGGCGACAACTCCGCGCCTATCAAGGGAGTCACCTCCGTCGACTCGGTCGCCATCCTCAACGTGCAGGGCACCGGCCTGATGCCGTCGGTCGAGGTGGTATTAATTAACGATTACTCAACGATGAATTAACTATCAATTAGGCACCGGCCTGATGCCGTCGGTCGAGGTGGTATTAATTAACGATTACTCAACGATGAATTAACTATCAATTAGGCACCGGCCTGATGCCGTCGGTCGAGGTGGTATTAATTAACGATTACTCAACGATGAATTAACTATCAATTAGGCACCGGCCTGATGCCGTCGGTCGAGGTGGTATTAATTAGCGATTACTCAACGATGAATTAACTATCAATTAGGCACCGGCCTGATGCCGTCGGTCGAGATGGTATTAATTAACGATTACTTAACTATGAATTAACTATCAATTAGGCACCGGCCTGATGCCGTCGGTCGAGATGTCGTCCCGCCTCTTCTCCGTGCTGCACCGCGAGCGTGTGGCCGTGCTGATGATCTCGCAGGCCTCCGCCGACTCCTCCATCTGCCTCGGCATCCAGGAGTCCGACGCCGACCGCGCGCTCGAGGCGGTGCGCGCAGAGTTCTTCCGCGAGCTCGACGCGACGGAAAACATCAAGGCACGCGGAGGCCGACTGAAACACAGAAAGAGACGGCCAGACGCGCCGCACGACGAGACCACGTTTGGGACACGCCACACGAGGAGATCTACGGTTGGCCCCACCGACGCCCTGTGTTGCTCCAGATCTCGGGCATCTCGATCGAAGAGGACAAGTCGATCGTGGCCGTCATCGGCGAGGGGATGGCCTTCCGGGCACTGAATCCACTGTGAATTAACTGTTGATTAACTATTAATTAGGCGAGGGGATGGCCTTCCGGGCACTGAATCCACTGTGAATTAACTGTTGATTAACTATTAATTAGGCGAGGGGATGGCCTTCCGGGCACTGAATCCACTGTGAATTAACTGTTGATTAACTATTAATTAGGCGAGGGGATGGCCTTCCGGCCGGGCACCGGCGCAACCTTCACAAAGGCGATGGCCACGGCGGGCGTCAACATCCGCGCCATCGCGCAGGGCTCGTCGGAGCGGCAGATCCGCTGATGGTGGAGCGGGGGGAGGTTAATTAACTATTCATTCACTGTCAATTGAGTATTAATTAGGCAAATCTCGCTGATGGTGGAGCGGGAGGAGATTAATTAACTATTCATTCACTGTCAATGAACTATTAATTAGGCAAATCTCGCTGATGGTGGAGCGGGAGGAGTGCACCAAGGCGTTGCGCGCCGCGCACGCCGCGCTCGCCCTCTCCGACACGCAGGCGGGCAAGAGACGCCGTTCACACCCTCCCCAGCGGTGGCAGCACGCCGCCCTCTCACATACGCCCTCAGGTGCCCACTGTGGTCGTCCGCACACCACACACACACCAGGCCTCACCTGCCCGCACACCACACACACACACAGCAGGCCTCACCTGCGGTCAGGTGTCCATCGTGGTGCTCCCTACCCCCACGGTACCCGAACCCATACCCTACCCCCGCGGTACCCGAACCCACCCGCAGGTGTCCATCGTGGTGCTCGGCTCGCTCGCCGAGGCGGGCGAGTCGATGGCGGGCGAGCTGTTAATTAACTATTAATTAACGATTAATTAACGATTAATTAGGCCGGCGAGTCGATGGCGGGCGAGCTGCTCAAGCTCCTGGCAGGGACGGGCAGGCTCGCGAGCTCCTCCCTGTCCTCTCCTAGACCTTTCCTAGACCTTTCCTAGAACCTTCCTGGAACCTTCCTGCAGGCTCGCGTACCGCGGCTCCTCCCTACACATATGTCCTTTCCTAGAACCTTTCCTAGAACCTTCCTGGACCCTTCCTGCAGGCTCGCGTACCGCGGCTCCTCCCCGTCCTCTCCTAGACCTTTCCTAGAACCTGCCTGGAACCTTCCTGCAGGCTCGCGTACCGCGGCTCCTCCCCGTCCGCACTCACCGGCGCCACCGCGCAGCTGCCGACCTCGCTCGACGGGCTGGCGATCGACCTCAAGGTTAACTAACTGTTAATTCATCGTTAATTAATATTTAATTGACCTCGCTCGACGGGCTGGCGATCGACCTCAAGGTTAACTAACTGTTAATTCATCGTTAATTAATATTTAATTGACCTCGCTCGACGGGCTGGCGATCGACCTCAAGGTTAACTAACTGTTAATTCATCGTTAATTAATATGTAATTGACCTCGCTCGACGGGCTGGCGATCGACCTCAAGGTTAACTAACTGTTAATTCATCGTTAATTAATATTTAATTGACCTCGCTCGACGGGCTGGCGATCGACCTCAAGGTTAACTAACTGTTAATTCATCGTTAATTAATATTTAATTGACCTCGCTCGACGGGCTGGCGATCGACCTCAAGGTTAACTAACTGTTAATTCATCGTTAATTAATATTTAATTGACCTCGCTCGACGGGCTGGCGATCGACCTCAAGGTTAACTAACTGTTAATTCATCGTTAATTAATATGTAATTGACCTCGCTCGACGGGCTGGCGATCGACCTCAAGGTTAACTAACTGTTAATTCATCGTTAATTAATATTTAATTGACCTCGCTCGACGGGCTGGCGATCGACCTCAAGGTTAATTAACTGTTAATTCATCGTTAATTAATATGTAATTGACCTCGCTCGACGGGCTGGCGATCGACCTCAAGGTTAACTAACTGTTAATTCATCGTTAATTAAGATTTAATTGACCTCGCTCGACGGGCTGGCGATCGACCTCAAGGTTAACTAACTGTTAATTCATCGTTAATTAATATTTAATTTAACCTCGCTCGACGGGCTGGCGATCGATCTCAAGGTGACGGCGCTGGCGAGCGCCTCCGCCTCCGTCCTCTCCAACGACGGCATCGACGTCGCGAGCCCAAACCTGTGGGCAAGTAATTAACGATTAATTGACGATTAATTAACGATTAATTAGGCATCGACGTCGCGAGCCCAAACCTGTGGGCGACGGCGTCGAGCTCCGTCGGCGAGACGCTCGAGGGAGTCACCTTCGCTTGA